CAGGTGACAGGGAGGAGCGAGGATGGTGACCGCGGGAAAGAGGGTAACAGAAGTTCAGAAGGGAGAATCCACACCCTAGGTCACTGAGGGCAAGCCCCTGAGGCGGGGGTTTGTTTCGTACATGTGGTTCTTCAGCACCGTGAACAGGGCCTGGCTCATTGAAGATGCTCAGTATTTGCTGACTGAGAGAAGTTGACGGGGTGGAGGAATCCAGGATGACTCCCACATTCCAGCCCAATGTGACTGAGTGAATGATGGTGCCAGTCTCCAAGATGAGGGTCCCAGGAGGAGAAGCTGGAGTGCAGGCAAAGATGAATCCAGAAGCCGTTTTTCCAGGCCAGAGGCAATGAGGCTGCGTTGCCCAGAATGGGCTGATGTCAGCGAGCAGCCCAGCTTCCAGTTCTCAGGATTGAAGTCTATGAAGGATTTGAAGGGACTCGTGGATTGGAGGAAGGAAAGGTTTGGTCCTGTTACGGCCAAAAGGATGGTTGAAAAACAAACCAAATTCAAAACCCAGTTTCCTCTGAAGAGTAGATGCACAGGGCCTCACTTCTGCATCACCCACCATGGGTGTCTGGTTGCCCTTTGTGCGGTGGGTACCCATAGCCCATTAACCAGGCAGAGGAGGAGGAAGAAGGTGTCATAAGTGATTGTAGAATCAGAGACCTCGTCAGACGCCCACATTCCCAACTTTGCTCTGACTCTGTATTCATCAACAAGATGGACGGGCGGGGTGCTCACAATTGCTTCCTAGGGACTTATTCTTGACCAAATCCAATCTCTCTGTTCAGGGAAGGAGTGAAATATAACCTGCTTTCCTGCTCTTAAGACCCAGAGTTCTGTCCATCACCTCGAAAGGCTGCCCTCTGCAAAGAGCTCCCTCACAGCCACTGCACCCCTCCCTTCCTCTCCCCACCACTCTTGCCCCAGGGCCCGCCATCACCCACCTCTGCTGCCAATTCCCCTTTAACTGGTCCCCTGCTTTTTGTTTCCACTCAGTCTGTTCTTCTTTGACACTCCCCTCCCCTGGAAACCTTCCTGGCCCCGCCCTTCTCCTCGCCCCCAGCACTGATTCCCTGAGCCAAGTCTGGCAGCTCACAGTTCATTCTCATCTCTCCAGCCCCTCACCTGAGCCTTCGAGAGCTTGGCCTCAGACTTCTTTGGGTCCTGGGTGTTGTTAAGTGGCGTTTCCCACCATCGTCCTTGGGTTCCGGGGCAAGAATGCTTTTACCATCCCCAGGGCCCCTCTTTTGCAGGGACCAGAGGGTCACTTTAGTTTTGTTTGATCTGGCAAAGCAAGGCACTTCCTTCTTTTAGAAATGGATCTGTCATGGATCTAAGTCGCTCAACTACCCTTCTTTGGAGTACTTGCAATTTAGTTTTTTTTTTTTTTTTTTTTGCTGAGGAAGACTCACTGTGAGCTAATATCTGTTGCCAATCTTCCTCTTTTTGCTTGAGGAAAACTCACCCTGAGCTAACATCTGTGCCAATCTTCCTCTATTTTGTATGTGGGTTGCTGCCACAGCATGGCCACTGATGAGTGGTGGAGGTTCGTGCCCAGAAACTGAAACTGAGCCACTGAAACAGAGCGTGCTGAACCTAACCATTAGGCCATGAGGCCGGTCCCTAGACGTTTTTTATTCCAGAAATTTTTCATATCATGAAGTAGTGGTGTACGTGTAGGGGAAAACCGTGGAAGGGCTGGCAGGGGTCTGGTCAGCCCAATTCTCCATGAGCCTGCCATTTGAACAGCTGGTGGATCCATTAGCAGGCCCCCTGTCCTCTGGATCCAACCTCTAGAGTCACCAAAAGACCAACCTAATGATCCTCAAGGCAGGCTGTGCCCAGTTCCCTAGCCTGGAACTAGGACGGGCTTCTGGGATTTCTCAGAGCAACACGCCCTGCGGAACGCCACCTCCCCGACCCCCACCCTCAGCAGCGATCACACTCTGCAGGCTTTGCATTAAACAGGTGGAAGTCAGCACAGCCCCAGTCGTGTGACTCGCCCAGCTAACCAAGGTTCTTCCTGGGTGGGGAAACTACTGGGACTTTTTTCCTTCTCGTTTTCACCTATCTGGACTGTTAAATTTCTCCACAATCAATATATATTACTTGTACTATTAAGAAGAAAATAAAACCCTAGAAAGACCGGGAGTTGGGAGCATAGCTGTAGACGGCCGTGGTGGTGACTGCTGCTGAGCCCTCCTCAGGAGTATGACCTGCGGGGTCCTAAACCGTCAAGGGCCACTCCAGGGCCCTTTGAGGACACAGAAGCCTTGAGCCCTGGGCAGCCCCAAGGCTGGGCCAACAGAGGGCACTTGGGAGGCCTAGTGTCCGGGCAGAGAGGGACGGGTCAGCCAGACCTTGGGGCGCGAATTCCTTCCTCGCTCGTAAAGGGTGAGCGCACCTAAGTGACGGTCCGCCTTCGGGCTGTTCCTTAAGAATCCAGTCAGCTTTAAGCGTCCTGCTTTCCAGCCTCCTACAAAGTGCCACTACTCAGCCGGTTGATGATGGGTGGTTTGGTTAGCAATGATTAGATAGGAAGGGATCAGAAACAAGTTGTCATAATTTAAACCGAGTACTTCACGTTCTGAAGGCTAAACTTGAAGGTTACACAGTGGGAAGGTGGGGACAGTGGTGTTGTTTGTTTTGCTCATTTAAAGAGTGACAAAGTCAGAGACTGTGCCTCTTGCCCAGGCTCTGTCCCCGACACAAGGATTCTCAAACTTCTGCCAAAGTCCCTTTGACGATAGAGAGAGGAGGGTGACTTGGACCCAGTGGTCTCGGGGCTCAGCGTGAAGGGCCCTCACAGAGGACCAAATTCTTCTGAGGCCTTAAGTTCACCTTTAAAATTATGCAAACCTGGCATTTTATTACATAGTATGTTTTATGTGTCTTAATATAAAAACAATGTTTTAAACTGTTTGTCCTAAAAAAAAAAAAAAACCTCTGTGGTACTGAGAAAGGCTTCTTAAATATCCTGTGACAGTCCCACCACTCGGCCACTGTGGGGTGGCCCTCGGCACTGGCACTCCAGGTGAGATGGGCTTCAGTGTGTGGCCCCCTAAGTAACTCCCTTTTCTGTTTGATTTTTTAGTTTGTCAAACTTCCCTCCACTGTCCCGGTTCTCTCTCTTATGACTACCGTTTAGGAAGCGCCTATGAAGGCCAGGCTCCATGCCAAATGCTTATCATGTACTATGTCCTTTCAGTTCTCACCTGAAACTCAGAGAGGTGAGGTAGGTTGCCTAAGGTCACACAGCTGTCAAGTGGCAGAGTGCACCATTCTGCCTGACTCCAAGCAGACTGTGGCCCCTGTTGCCTGTCAGCGGCCAAAGTTGGAGCACGGTGGCCTCCCAGGGCAGGAGACTGTCACGGCACATCCAGAAAGAGCACAGATGTAATACAGGAAGATTCAGAAAAGCTAGGTTTAGGTCTAGCTCTGACCTGACTAGCTATAGGTTCTCTAGGGAGCCCCTCAGCCTCCAGGTCCTGCTCTGTAAAATGGGGTGAAAAAGGTCTGTGAAAGGGCCAGAGGGAAAAGGACGAGCCTAGAGGAGACATCTTAGATTCCTTTCTTGCTCTGCTGCTCACCGGCTGTGCCATCTCAGGCCAGTCACCAAATCTCAGAGCATCTGTCTCCTCCCTTCTGAGACGTGGAGAAGATCACCTGCCTCTCGGGGCTGCTGGGGGATTAACGGTGAGATGCGTGAAACACCTGGATGGAGCTCAGCTGGAGCAGCTGCTCTGCGAAGGGTTCCCGCTAGCGGGGGTCCCTGTTGCTGGAGTCGGGGCGGTGGCATCCATATGAAGAAATGTGACTATTAAAGTGAGGGCAACACTGCAAAGTAAGGCAATCCCTTAAAAACAAGAAACTAGAGAAGGGTCTACCTTAATGCTCCCCGAAAGAGTTCTGCTGGCTGAAGCGCTGGAGCCCCCTTCCGTGGAGAGACCCGTGACATAAGTCAAGACCAGAGAAGCAGCCCCCATTCACCTTTTGTTTGTTCGTTTTTTAATGTTCTTTTTTTCATCTCTTCTCCATGATCCCGATATGAACACTCCTCCAACCCATCCCCACCTGCATTGGTGCCGGGCACCCAGAAAGCATCTGTGTTAAGTCTTGCCATCATCTCCTGGAGAGGGACACAGGTGTGGCCTGGAGAAAGGATGCCTGGGGCAGGTGCAGGTGGGGTAGGGAGCACCCAGGTCCCTCTGCCAGCCAGTTTGGAGGACAGAGCCGGTCCCTCCAGGAAGAGAGATTCAAGGTCTCTCCCAGTTTTAAGGTTGGTTCAGTCTGATTCGGTGACTCGGCTGGTCAGCCCTAATTCCTCAGCGTGGGCAGGACCCCAAAAGACCCCCCACCAGTGTCTCGGTGAATGTGTGTAGCCTCCGCCTTGGTAGCCACACAGGGGCACTTCCCAAAGTCCCAGTGATGGGGACTCTCTGGAGGGGCTCCGGGCCTCCCCACAGACTGCCTCTCCGTCTCCCCACTGGGGCCTTGCAGGCCAGCCTGGAGGGAATTTTCCAAAGCAGGTGGGGCTTGCTGAGTGGCCAAGATGCTGTGTGAGGGATGGGTCTCCTCTCCCGGGGCCTTTTCCCCTAAGCTAGTGTCCCAGGCACCTCTCCCAGTTTGGAAAGCAGATTATTTATGGTTTATTTTTGACACCAGATCATCGCTGCCCAAGTTTCATCAATTTGTCACTGTTTTTATTGTCAGCAATTGCCCATAACTGGAGCACATTTAAAATGTCATTGATCTTGGTATTACAGTGTCATAATCTGACAGTAATAGGTGTAGCCAGCACAGGAAGCCCAGGCCCTGAGATTGATGGCGTTCAGCACACCAATTATATTCTGTCCATCTAAGTGATAAAAGAGTACGTAGGAGGCATTCAATAGATAAATTAGATATCGCTTCCAATTATGTCCCTTTATTTTATGGAGTCATATGCTCCCCTTAGAACTTTTTTTCTTCATTTGGCTTGTAAAGGGGCATGCTTGACCCCAAAGACCAGGGCTGCCTCTCCTGCCTGTCCCACCTTGGGTTTGACCCTGATCCCTCTCTGTCTTCTAGAAGTCTCTCACCTGGGGTCTCCCTGGAACTCACCTAGGAGCCTCATCGGTGCGGTGGGTGGGCAGAGGTGTGGAGGGAAGGAGGTGGAGGGGCCCCGGTGTCTGGGGAGGGGTTGGATCAGGCCTCTGGGAAGGATGAGGAGGTCTGACGATGCCTTTCCTTAATGTGACTCCGGCCAAATAAATGAGATTGGGAGAGGAGCCATTAACTGGGTTACCATCCTCCAGGCCCCAACACCCCAGAGCCTTCAAATCAGGACAACTAGGGAATTGTGGGGAGGAGGAGGATGGTCAGAAAGCTCTCAGTCCTCCGGAAGTGACTTCCTCCATCCCCCTGCCTCACTCCAGCCTGAAGTGAGCCAATCGAAATATTTCTTTGGAAGAACCCCCAGAACCTCCTGCACTCCCATTCCAGTCCAGGTCAGACGCCTTCCTCAGCTTGACTCCCAGGTCTGCCACTGCAGTAGCAGAATGATGCCAGCTTTCCTCGGGGGGCAGCGGGCTCCCTGCTGGAGAATGGACCCCAAGAGCAGCTCATTTCCAAGAGGAGAGCTCGCCTGAGGCAGGGAAGTGCCTGTCCGGAGGTGAGAGGAAATAGAGTGAGGGGGTCTCTTTATTCAGGGCCTGGTCTGTAAGCGCCTTACCCTCTGAGGACAGCCTTGGCCTGGTCCAGACCCCTGTTCCCCCATCCCCCACAGCCCCTTGAAGCCAGCAGGAAACAGAGGAGACCGAGACAGCAGGTGGTAAACAGTGATCCAGGTCCATTTATTGAGCTTTGTAAGAGAAAGTGTGCACGGGCTGGGCTGCTCCCCATAGCCTGTTGCCATCTCAACTGTTATAAATAATCCTGGCACTAAGTGCCCTGTTACACTGAGGGGAAGTAGTTCTCATGGCGTGAAACCGGAGAAGATGGGTCGGGGAGGAGGGGGGACGGTGGGAGAGGAGAGAGAGACGGGGCGCCATCCCACGAGGCTCCTCAAGCACGCCCCTGAGCTGTGACAGATGCATTTCTGGAGCAGCGGATGGCATTTCAAGTGAAATGTTTACAGGAAACGAGTGTGATTTAAACAACGTCTTGGCCGATAAACACCAGCCAGACGGGGGGGAGAGGGCCAGGCGAGAGGGAGTGGACTCAAAGGCCCAGAGGCCCCCGTGTTAAGTAGCTGTCGAAGCTCCGCTCAGACACACACACGGCTTTGGTCTTAACATGTTTTTAAGAGCTGGTTACGATTTCCTTGAGGGCGACTCAGATGAAGACCGGAGCGGAGCCCCCAGAGGAGCGCCTTCAGTAACTGTCCATCACGTCCTCCGTAGAGACAGCAGCCTTCTCTGCCCACCCGGGCCGCCCTGCCTGTCAGTCGCTCCGTGGCAGCACCGGGACCTGGTGCCCTTGGCTCGGGCCCTGCCCCGGAGGCTGGGGCAGATCCCAGGGACAGGAATTGAGCCCCCCTCACAGAGCTCTCAGTGTTCAAGAAAGAGAAAGCACACAACCTAGAGAAGAGAGTGAAGAGAGCAAAGGGATGGGAGCCAAGGAAGAGAAAACTGTCACCAAATCCAAAATCCGGGCCCTTCGCCCCACGTCCACTGCTGCCACCCTGGTCCAAGCCGCTCACCTCTCACTTGGATTAGTGCAATAACCTTTCAACAAGTCTCCTTGTGTCTTCTCTTGCCCCCTGCAATCTATCACAACACAAAAGACAGAAGGACCATCTAAAAACTTAAGTCCATTCATGTCTTTCCTCCCTATTTCACTCAGAGTAAAGGTAGAAGTCCTTAAGACAGCCTACATGGCCCTAGATTATCTGGCCCCTCGTTACCTCTCTGATGTCACGCCATCCCATACACATCTCCTTGCTCACTCCACACCAGCCATGCTGGCCTCCAGGTTCCACAAACTTGCCAGGTAAGTGCCTGCCCCAGGGCTTTTGCACCAGCTATTCCCTCTGCTTAGAATACTCTTCCCCAAGAAGTCTGTGGGGCTTACTTGCCCGCTCGTCTCTAGGTCTTGGTTCAAATACTGTATTCTCAATGAGACCTCCTTGATACCATATTTAAAATTATAATTAAATATAATATAATAAAATTAAAATTATAGACTTCCCCTCCATCCTGATCCCTTTTCCCCGATCTACGTTTTTTTTGTAACCCTTATCACCTTCTAATATAAAATATAATTTACTTATTTAATAAATGTATTGTTTATTGTCTATCTCTCCCTGCTAAAGCGTAAACCCCACATGGGCAGGGGTCTGTCTCTGTTTCGTTCATTGATGCATCCCAAGAACCTGGAAGAATCAATAATAATTGCTCAGTGAGTAGACGCAAAGGCTGAGGTTAACCAGGACAGGGTTTGGAGGGGCGTGCAGGGGGAGGCCATCCCAGGCTGGAGGTTAACTTGTACCTTCTCTCACTGCAGGCCATGCTTGAGGATCTGGGGGTCAAGGTGATGGGCACAAGTGCAAGAGCTGGGGCATCACCAGAAATGGGGAGATTCAGCTGGCAAGGGGACTAGCGTGGATTTACCCCCTGACTCTGGTGGAACACTTGACTGTAGGTTGGGATTTCATCACCCCCATGACCAAAGTGTTCTTTGGGATAATAATACCAAAGGGATGTACCAGGCAAGGATGGAGTGGTGGGACATGAGGGGCGGACTAGGAATTCAGAGGCCTTCAAGGTGAGGGGAGTGTGGCTGCTGGTGTATGTAAGTGGGGGGAGGGAACCGAGTCATCACCTCAAAGAGGATGCTCTGTCTCCATTGGGGCAGAATAAAAAGCCATGGGCTGCACCTAAAGTAGAGGGAGTCCGAATTAGACATCATGAAAGACTTCCCAACAGTGCAACAGGTAGTAGAGGGAAGGTGTGGAGCCTTGTTCTCTGGAGAACCTGAGTGGACCCAACGGGGTGAGCCCTCTGCCAGGCCAACACTGAGAGCCCCGTGGGGGCAGCGTGGTGGACTGGAGCCCTGGAGAGGGTTCCTGCCTCTGCCTGGCCCCCGACCCCTCCCTCTCACCTGCCAGGCTTCTAGGCTTCTGTGCTCCTGAGGCGTGCAGCCATCTTAGCAGGGCGGGAGGGGAAACTGAGTATTCGGGGCTCCAAGGCCCCAGCGGTCCGGGGGTGTCCCCCCCACCTCTCCCCAGAACTCAGTGCTCAACTCAGCTTCATTGCGACTTCAAGGCGCAAGCCAGGAGGAAGGGAGAATATGTTCGGAGGGTGATACAAGACGGTGGTTACTGTGGTTACAGTGGGGAGAGGCCCCGGGTGGCCTGGTCGTCCTGAGGGTGGGCAGGGAGACTTACTTGTCACTGTGTAACTTTTGGTGCTTTTTCAGTTTTCAACCATATACATATTTCCTATTTGAAAAAAATAAAATAATTAAAATCAGACAAAAATGACAACAACAAAGAATAGATCCAAGGAAGCGGGAAATTGATGCCTACAATTGCTCCCCTGAGGACAGTGACGGGCCCTTCTGGCCCACGTGCACCCTCCTCCTCATCTGGTATCCCCACTCTTCAGCGGCTCAGAGAGGGGTGTGGCTGGTCTAATGTCACACAGCATTTAGGAGCTGTGTGACTCTCAGCAAAGGTCTTGGGGTCAGGTGTTCAGCCTCTCAGCATCGGCTTTCTCTCCTGGTCTTCAACGGCCAGGTCTTCCCCTTGACCTCTCCATGTTATTTGCAGGGCTGTGTATTTGTCACAAAGCAGCTTTCAAAGAGGGATTTTAAAACGTGCATGGTCTTAAATCCCATCTTTCCCAGAGAGTCATCTCTTTACAGAACTCTCTTCTGTCCCCTGGTGTGGTGACTGATAGTTTAGTCCCTTCCTTGCTGCCTCCCTCCCCTCCACCACCCTCAACCACCAAAGTGGCTCTCCACTGCCACTTGGCCCTGGCCCTGATGAGACAGGTGACCTCGAGCAAGATATTTAACCTTTCTGTGCCTCTGTTTCTTCATCTATAATGGAGGACCGTGACCTTCCTCCCGCGGCTCCTCATCCATCCACGTGTACAACAAGCCTGTGCCAGGCACTGAGCCCGGCACTGGGGCTTACACGAGACGATGCATGTGGAGTCAGCACAGAGGTACAGAGAGTTACTGCCAAGGCCTGCTTCCCTGGATGCTTTTCAGGGCTGGTGCTCCAACCCCTCATCTAGCCCGCCCTTGGAGGAATGGCTTCACTGTCTGCTCCCAAGCTCTCAGCTTCTGGCACTGCTCCTGGGGTGAAGCTGACACCCTCCCCTGGATAAAGTGTCAGGGCTGCAGAAATACCCTCTTTCCCAGGCTGTTTCATTGGCTAGATCCTGAGGGTATCGCTTTTCCTGCAAGAAGGAATGAAGCGAAATTCGCTGTGGGTCTTTAGTCTGGAACTTCAGGAGCATCCACCTCTCTTGCCCTCTGGGGGCCCCATCCCTGAGACGCTGCTCATGTCCCCGCTCTGCTCATTTCTTTCCTTTCCTGAGCCCCATGACTCTTTGAAGACCGGAGCAGAGACTCAGATTCTGGGATTGGAAACTCTCTCACGTTTGCCTCCCTCTAAATGCACTGTGGAGGAAAGAGGCCCCCTTCTTTAAAGCAACCACCACCTCAGCACCTAGGAGCTTGTTTCAGACAAAGAGAAGTTTTCAGAGCTCTTGGAGGGAGGCTGTCCCTACTCCCTGCCTTGGCATTGAGGACTGAGGAAGTATCACTGGCAGGGAGGGGTGTTTGTAGAAATGGCTTCAGCCTGGTCATGACGAAATCCCAAGTCAAGTGATGACGATGGACCGTGGGGAAGGTGGGACCAAGTTTAGACATAAGGAGGCACTTCCTGATTGTCAGGGAACAGGCTTTAAGGAGAGAGGTTGTGGAGGGGTTGATGGAACCACTCCAACACAGTTCTCCCCGAGGCAGGAAGAAGGATGAGATGATCTGGGGGTTGCAAAGGATCCAGGGATTACATGATGTTGCAGGCCTGGCAGTGACTGCAGAGGCAGCCAGGGAGACATTAGCACATCCTTGTCTAGCGCACAAAGCCAGGCACAGGGACCAGCCTCTCCAGAACCCCCCACAGCCCAGCACAAAGCCTCACACTGGGCAGACTGGAGAATCTGAAGAGGGCAAGATGGTGCCAACTCCATCCTCAGGGAAAGACAATTGCTTTAGAGTCCCAGCAAAAAATGGTTCCAGACTGTGGGGCTTGGAAGTACTTCCTCGTGTCCAACCTGAATCCTGCTTACCACAGCTTGCTTTGATCTCACTGCAACCTGTGGGGTTTGCCCGTGCCCCGAGGACCAACTGAGCAGGGAGGAAGGGCCTTGCTTTCAGGCCCAGCCCGTTGGCCATGGGAGGCAGCACAAGTTGGCCAAACTCTCAAGCACCTGTCTCAGCTCCTGGGCAGTCCTGCGGAAAGTGGAGGAGGCGGTTTTTCCATGGAAATGCCACACTCCACGAGGACATAAGCAGAACAGTAGAGGGCACAGGGCTTGGGGGGGGCGGGGGGGGGCACGGTTTGAGTGTCCAGAAGAGGTGGGGTTGAGGGAATGCCTCTTGGCTGGGGTGAGGGAGCTCCCCTGGATGCTCAGCCCCTCCGCCCCCTGAGGAAGGCCTGCAGTATCCCAAGGGCAGGAATTGATCCTGCATCATTTTGGCAGCCCCAGTGCCCAGCAGAGCAGATGCTCCAAACACATGGGTTGAATGAATAAATGAGCCTGGGGGCCAAGAGCTAGCCCAGCAGCAGCTGGAGTGGGTCTTTGGATAAGGTATTCCCCTCTCCGGGCCTCAGTTTCTCCATCTGTAAAATGAGGGGCTTGCACTAGATTCTCTCTAAGGATTTTTCCACCCTGTTTCCCGGGTCTCTCATCTGTTCTTGCCCATTCTCTCTCCCTCTGCATCCTCTCTTTCCTCTCCCTTTAAATCCTTCTCTCCCTTTAGCCCACACTCTCTGCCTCCCCTTCTCCGCCTCTCCCTCCCCAGCCACCTTTCTCCTGTTTCCCCTTTACAGGTGTTTCTCACTCTCTTTCTGCTTCCGGTGATTCCTCCCCCAATACCCTGGCTCCTGCCTGGAACCTTCTGTGTTCTGGGTTCCCCCACCCCTTCCCTGGTTCTAGCGCCCCCTCCATCGCCCTTAGACGCCAGAGAGGGAGACTGGAAGAAGGGGAGAGGTCCTAAAGCAGCCTCTGCCTCGCCCCTGCCATGGACCCAGCGCGGCACCCCAGGTCCCCGCCCCCAGCGTGGCTGCCGGAGGCTCCCAGCAGCCGGTGCCGCCGCGCCCTCGCCCCACGCTAATGCGATCTGGAGAGACCCGGGCGGGCGGCGGGTAGTCTGGGCCGAGCGTCCGGGGCGGTGCTGATGGATGGTCCCCTGACAGTAATCGCAGAATGAGGACGCGCTGGCGACGCTCTCGCCCGAGGCCCCGCTGTTTGGCGAGCCGGGGAGTCCCTCCCTCCACAGCACCTGCCTCCCGGGCGCTGTCTCCAAACCACTCGGCTTTGGGGGAGGCCTGAGGCCTCCAGATCAGGGCCAAGGTGGGGGCTTTCCCTCTCTGTCTCCCCCAGGATACTGGTTTCTGTTTTGGAATCATCCTTGGATCCTACACTGTGTGTAGGATTCTGAATAAGCTACTCATCTCCTTGAGCCTCCGTTTCCCCTTCCGTATAATGGGAAGTAATGGTCTTTCTAAGCCTGGATGGAGAGTGATAGCAGTAAGAAAATATTGAGGAAAGTTATCACTCTCCCTTAAGCAGAAGTTGATGTTTACTTTTAGTTCACAGTGCTCAGAATAACATGGGCCAAGGTATAACGCTGAAGGAGCGCTGGGTGGATATCCACACACAGAATACACGGTTATACACGTACGCGCGTCATGTTTGGGGCTGTCTAATACACACATGTGAACATAAGAGATGGCAATATCAGTATCACTTAGATGTCTTTAAAGAGGAGCAGGTCAGCACAGGTATTTCTCCAGGGAGGAGACTGCCCCAAGCAGGACCCCTTCCACTCTCCTGAGGTCCAACTACGCGTCTAAGCCCCCGCCCCCATCCAGTCTTGGGATCCCCTTTAATCCAGGGCTGGGCTGAGTAAGGGCTGTGAAGAGAGGCTCCCCCTTGGGGAAATGTTCCTGGACAATTTCCCACCCCTGCACCCACCTCCAGGTGACACAGAGTTCCAGGGCTCCTCCACTCCCCCATCTCAGGGGATCCCCGTGGGCTGGGGGCCAGGATCCAGAACCAATTACAATTCTGAGAGCACACCCAGACGCCTCCTCGCTCCCTTTTAACCTTTCCCTCTCCTCAGAAGCCAAATTGAGTTAGTCTTGAGTTTTGATTTAATTCCCGAAATGGAGTCATAATCTGTTTAGTGTCTTTTTTCCCAAGTCCTGGGTACTGAAATGTGGGGTGGGGGGAGTTAATGAGAGAGCAGCTCTGGGGCTTGTGGAGCACCCTCACACACACTTAACGTCCAAACAACACCAAAGAGCAGGAGACACCATGGCCCTGAGTGCCACTGGTGGTATGATGGTGATGATGGTGATGATGGTGATGATGGTGATGATGGTGATGACGATGATGACGATGACTAATATTTATTGGGCTCCTACTATGTGCCGTTACTGAGGTAGGCACTGTATGTGCATTTCTCACCTAAGTCTCACCATTACCTTCTGGGTACCATTAATATTCCCTAGGCCTGGTGGTCTAGCTGTCAAGATTCAGCGCTCTCACTGCCACAGCCTGGGTTAGTTTCCCCATCAGGGAACCTCACCGCCATCTGCGGGTTGTCATACTGTGGTGGCTGCATGGTGCGGTGATGCTGACAGCTATACCACCGGTATTTCAAATACCAGCAGGGTCACCCATGGTGGATAGGTTTCAGCGGAGCTTCCAGACTAAGACAGACTAGGAAAAAGGACCTGGCCACCCACTTCCAAAAAACTGGCCATGAAAACCCCATGAATAGCAGTGGAGCATTGGCTGATACAGCGCTGGAAGGTGAGAGGATGGCACAAAAAGACAGAGCAGGGTTCCGCTCTGCTGTACATGGGGTCACTAGGAGTCGGAAACCACTCGACGCCACTAACAACAAATAGATGAAGACACGGAGACTTAGAGAGGTGAAGTAGCTTATGCTGCATCCTACTGCTATTAATCCAACGGCAGAGCCCAAATTTGAACCTACACAGTCAGACTACCCAGCCTGTGCTCTTAACCACACTTAACTGTGTGACCCTGGGCAAGACACTTAATGCTACATGCCCCAGTTCCCTTATTTGCATAACAGATAATAAATAGGGATAATAATATACTCCCTTTATAGAGTTGTTGTGTTGACTAAATGAGATAAGGCATTCGCCCTGCTGCCAGTAAACGTTCA